AACGACGAGAGGTGGACGTATTTAACAACAATTGCATCAAACCTTTTTCTCATATTATCCTCACTTCCTCGCTAGAGTTGGAAGAATCTAGGATCCTGCAAGGAGAATGCCTAACATTTCCATTTCCGGAATCAAATTTCCATAAAATGCTGTTTAATTTTCTCTTGGATATAAATAGATTAAATTAAATTATGAGAATTCAAATAAAACCTACTTTAAAAGGTAATAATAATTAAAGATCTTATTTCAATGGATATTTATATGCTATTATAGCGCTAGGATCGGCTTTGAGTTTGAGGGTGAATATATTACCATAGTGTAAGTAATATTTATACTATGTATTTTCTCTATTTCATTAGATTCCATCCATAAGGAAGGCTTTAGCCCCAGCAGTGGGATGGGAAAATTAACGGGCTGGTGATGTTCTGATTACAGAATAGCATAGTTACCATAATATGCACCATTTTCGCAATTAATTTTCAATCTACCCTCAATAATTTAAAATTTAAATTGAACTGGATAATTTTGTGCAGCTGAATGAAATGCCATTCACTATATGATAGTAACTATAACGCCTGCCAAAATTTTTCCTATTAATAATACTCGCTGTAATTGTGGGAATTGTGCGAGTAATATTAATAAACTTTGAAAAGCAGTTTTAGAGAATATTCCTGGCAAACAAACAAACAAATAATCAAATATTTACTCTTTATAATACGAGTATAAGTGTAGTAGTAGATTAACAATATAGCACCTAATACTACTCTTTAATAATTTTATATGAATTTTGAATACATATATTAACTTCAATAATAAGGAAACTTGAAACGCTTTAGGTGACTGTCCGAAACGTTCCGCAGCAAAATTACCTCCTCTGTGAGAGACGAAGCTGCTTGCGTTTGTTATCTATAGATAGTGATGTGATTTTTTATCGATAAGTATGTGGTTTACTATATAAAAAAAGTGAGTCATTCGTGTGTCAAACACACTGTTGAGGTTTAAAGTACAGTCAGGTACAGTCAGGTTATACAAGACTGTCAAATGTCCTTACTCGATTTTAAATCTTAATACATTGCAGGTCATAATCCGTTGCAAAAATTTTACATATAATGCTAACCTAACGTGCAGCCGTGTGTAGTGCCGTGTTTATAACTTTTATATAGAAAAATATATCCTTGTTTAATCTGACTTGGGTTATGTCAAGTACTAAATGATTGAATGAACGAATAATTCTTTATTGTACAAACACCATTAAACACGAAACATAAACTGCACAAACAAAAACAAAGGTTTGTATAATCAGCGGCCTTATCGCTAATATAGCGATTTCTTCGTATTTAAAAATGCGAAAGTTTTCATATTGAAACTAGGAAAGTTTAAAATTTTAATGTTATCACATAATTCTATTTAATTGCAATTTATTAATGAATTAAATAATCTAATATTCACTGCATTATCGATAAACTAAACTCTCCTTTCAAATCACTAGTAATACGCTACTAATCTTCATCGACGTTCTAAGACGGATGGAAAGCGCCTGATCAGACCGATTAGCAACCGCACACAGAGCGACCTACATTCAAAATCGTGTCCTATTTCAAACAATGGAGGAAGCCTTTTCCTTTGCGACCGTGTAACGACTTGAATTTCCAACTTCCTACTTTGTTCCCCTTTCAGTTTCTAATTTATTTGCCTTTAAGGTTCATTTTCTTCTTCAAATTGATTAAAGATACATTATTTTTCGATGGCCGGTCATGCTTAAGATCTGCATTGGTATTACTAACTTCTAGACAAAGTCTTTAATTATATCAACTTGTTGGTCTCAGATAGCTAGAAGAGAACTCTCTGGTCACATTTTATTAGTAAGTTCTACGTCTATGAGGATGACATTTAATTTCTAAACCACAAAAGTAATGAATCTATTAGATTCGTCATTGGTGACTACATTTCGATATTTTAATGATCGTACGAATTAATTGTAAATAAAAAACTACAACAATAAGTCATTGTTTTGTAGAAAGCAGGAAACTAAGTAGAAGAGAAATTAATAAATCCCCTTTTCCCATTAAAACTATTAGATGTCCTTGTTTGACACTCCTTTCGTCACTTTTCAATCAAATGTCAAGCTTTTGCTTTTTAGGTTTCGGTTAGGATTTTGTCAATGAATATGGAAATATTCATTTATAATCATTTTATCATTATTTATATATATAATCAATGAAAAAAACATTTACTAAATAATTGTTTTACCTTTTTACAACTGTTTTATATAATAACTAGACTTCCGCCGGCGGCTTTGCCCGCGTGATCTTGTTTTAAGTCCAGAAATGAGAAAATTCCAAAAAACTTCCATCCCTAATTTACCCCCTTAGGGGTCGAATATCGTTAAATTCCGTCATAGTGAGAACCTTGGTCTTAAAAAGAATACAAAATTGAAACTCCTAGCACTTGTAGTTTTTGAGATTTCGTGACAAGTGAGTGAGTGACCTTTCGCTTTTATATATAAAGACTAGCTGCTTACCACTGCTTTTACTTAACTTTTGCTTAAATTATAGCCAACCTTGTGTGCAACTAAAATTGTTCTGTGCTTGTGTAGCCTCTCAAAGGTGAAAGTTTTAAAAAATCGGTGCAATCCTTTTAAAGCCTTATCGTTGGAAACAAAGAATCAAATCTTTTCTCTTTTTAATATTATTATAGATTAAAGTGTAAATCTTTTAATTCGAATCCGTAACCATTCGCTTACGTTACTTTAAGTTAGGAATTCGATTCTTGTCTCGAGAACTTGAGACGTTAGATTTTTTAAATATTTTTTAATAAGCAAAACAAACGTAAACGTCATCAAATGACATTATATTTTCCTTAATAACCCGCTGCAACTAAATTACCCGCATTCAAACGATACAATACGTTAATAAAACAGAAGGTTCGTTTATCGTTTCATGTTTTTCATTACCATCGTGGAACGATAAATAAGTTGGCCTATTCAAAAGTAAATACTTTTGAAGTTTTTATATATATATATTTAAATAAGTTTATGTCAAAAAGCTTTTTTACTATGATTTTGTCTTTATCCATACGTTGTTTCATGATATGCAAAAATGTCTAGCCCATAAAATAACGTGACCAGACGTCCCACTGTACCATTTTTGTTTGTCTGTCCCAGTGTACCGAAAGATATCTTCGGGGCAAAAACAATATGCGAATCAGTTACTTTTGGGTTATTGCAAACCTTATATAGGTACCGTACTGCTCGTTTAATGTCAGGTAAGGTATATATCACAGTCAATACCCAGCAAATAAATATTATTTACCTAGGTACCTCACAGATCACATTGTCTCCCATTAAAAACCATGTCCCGTTTTATGGCATATATCTTACCTGAAAAATATATAATATCTCGTTTTCATTAAATAATTTTTGGTCGTTGTTAAAATTTTTCTGTGAAGTTTTTGAAGCATAACAAAAGATGTCAGAACAAAGATAGAGTTGATATACTATTACCGATAATCACACTTTTATGCTTATAATATTATATTAACAAACATATTATATTATATACTCGTTGTCACGTGACCGTCAAAAGCGCATGACATCACATCCCTCTTACTCATATCAGAACTTCTTCAGAACAGAACAGAGAATTCAACCTTTCAATTTCAGACGGCCGTGACATCATAGCGACGCCATGACAGAAGATATATATATGTTTTAACTTATTATAATAGATTTTAAGTTATTATATGAATGATACTTTTTCAATATTTTTTAGATATATTTCATGTATAAAATAAAAATATGAAAAAGTTGTCATGTCACATAAAACGTGTAACAGAAATAACGCACATCCTTATACACCCCAATTAGAAAATGCATTTATAATCATAAAACGAAAATTGGAATTTTACTTTTATGTACTAGAACATTGTGTATGTTTGGACATAGTTATACTTACAAACAGTGCTGGGTAACAGTGTGGACATCTTACAAATCCACACAATGACGTCAATATTACGGCTTAGCCTGTAAATACACATGTATGTACCTACAGCACAATACCACAATGATACTATTTACCTACCAATAACGTTACGTACGTTAGTATAATGTAGTATAACGAAAAATCATCGCATATGATATTGAAAATTCGATATACTTAAATTGCGATAAAATACTACCACTGTCACGTTTGTCACATGTGTCATGTTTATTTATGATATATTATTTTTCTCTTTGTTTATGAATTGTTTTAGTCTTTGGTTTATGAGCTTGTGCATCATAGCGTTTAAGAGCAGTTTGAACTCAAGTCACATTAAATTAAAGATTTTTTTTTTTTGTTTTTCTTTCCTATGTCGTATTTTATTACAAGCTAAGAATATTGTGCATTTTAAAAAGTCTTATTTCTTTCACTTACGTTGATTTTATTATTTATGATGGCTGTTATGGTTACAGATGACCATAATTTTCAAAAAAAAAACCTATATTAGAAGTTGTTGAAATCGAATCAGTATCAGATTTTATACAAACTACTTTCAGTATGTGTGTTAATTATGATAATCGTAAAACAACTTAAACAACATTGACTACAAAGATTTAATAATTACGTAAATGACTATTTTGTGTAAAGTTATATCTAAATTATGCATTTATTTTTACTCTACCGTAAAACTTTACCGCTTGTAAAAATCAATTATATAACGAATATATTTGTACAAATCTCACAGCTTCCTTATTATGAATTATAAACTTGCAGGATGGTAACTTTGTTTACATTAACAAGTTTAATCGGACCTACTGTTTTATCTCATTAATAGGTAACAACAATCTTGATCAGTTTGCTACTTCGCGTGCGCAAACGCATGCTCATAAAACGGTGTTGTTAAAGAGCACCCGTCTCTTTCACACTCCCTAAGAATTATAGACAACGAAAGACATTATAGACAACTGGTCATCGTATCGTAAACTTGACCTTATCTTATAAAAATAATATTTTTTTTTTATTGTCATTCGACGAGAATCGAGCGCGTCGGACGCGCGATTGAGTCTTCGGTTACGAATTAAACTTTAAACACTTAAAGTTATTGTGATTACTTTATAATGGTAAGAGTGTGCTATTAATTATATTAGAATAATAGTGATAAGTGAATACAAAAATTTATAAAGTGCGTTGTGTTTTTCCGTCACAATCAAGCTTATAAGGAAGATTCTAGTGTTAATTTTTGCATTTTGGTGGCGTGTACCATGTCTGACCGGTTTATCGGCATTGAAGGTAGAATTTTATATTATTTGTAGCGGATGTCAATACAAGAAAGGAGGAACAACTATGTACGTATAAAGTTGACGACATCATTGATGTAAAACAGTTAATTGGTACCTTAAATGCGCGTTAAGATGATAGTGAATGTTTTTGTTCTTAACTTGATTAAATTAAGATGAAACATGTCTACAAAGGCAGCTAAAGTTTAATATAGAAGTAGAATATAACATGAACTAAAATTTAAAACACAAAAGCGCTGTTTAATGTTTCCCCAGAGATAAACAGTGACGTAAACGGAGGCAAATTTAAGGAATAATTCAGAACAAGGTCTGGGTATGGAGCAGATTTTTCTGAATTCCAGGGCCTTCCTCAAAAGTGAGGGTAGTGGGTATGCCATTAGGCCATTATTTTTACCTAGCCTTCAGGCGAGTCCCACACCTCAATGGACATAATTCCCCGTACAACACAAAAACAGGGATAATAGAAATTAACTACCAAAATTTAGGTAAATAAAATATTTAACATAATACCTGTTAAGGAAAGTAGTTAAAAAATTAAGCTTCAATACCTGATAATAAAGGAAAAATTTGATTTCGCTTTATTATTACAGGGTATTGTTAGTTAATATCAAATATAATGACGTCAGAGTATGTATGCTAACGCAGTCACCACTGCATAGTAAAATTCTTTGACATAGTATAAATAAAAATCACTCCGCCGTTCTTTGTATGGTCACATTTCAACTTCAAATTCTTCTATATATCAGCGGCAGATTCTAACTAAAGCAAACTTAACTGTGCAACATTACAGAAGGGTTTCGGGGACAATAAAAATCTTTGATTCACAATCTACTTCCTAGCAAAATACCTTGTATCTGAGGGCCTACTCTAAATGTCCACGAACTCGGAAAATTACGAATCGTTCTTATAATTGTTAAAGTTATATCCGTGAAGATTATCTGTGCAACAGAGGCAGTATCAGGTACCTCCGTTGCATAAAAACTATCTGAAAATGGGTTTCTTCATTATTTCATTTGCTATTCAAATATAGTCGAAGTTTTGATTTCGCAGAAACAGGCCTTCTGTGCGTGAAAGTGGTAATATTATTTTACGTCTTGCAGTTTCTTATTTATGTGTTTCTATTAAATTATTCAAAATTGTATACTTTTCCTTTTAAAAATTAACTTTGTCGAATTAAACGAGCCCAAATTCAGTAGGTTTGTTTTACTTAAATACAGTGGCCCCAGAGCTACCATTTTAATATTGTAGTGTCACATATAAGACTAGTGGCCGCCAGCGACTTCGTCCGCTCGGTCCGAGATACGGTTATTAAGCAACTTTCGCAATGTCCGGACATATGATGGCTGACCAAAAATGTATTATCTCGAGCTACGTATAGCTTCGGAAGACACGTTAATCCGTTGGTCCCCACCGTTAATTCCCACCAATTCAGACTCGACTCGCATGGTAGATTAGAGCCATATTAAGAAGTACATTTTTGCTGGCAAGTAGACAGCAAGTCTCCGAAAATAAGGAAATGACTGCGCTGTATTGACCATTTTCTTAAATCAGGATTAGCCCGCCTATATAGGCAATCTAGGCAACTGTTTAAGGCGGTAGTACTTGGAGTAGCGGCATAGCGTAATCTCTTGGCTCTAATTTTATTGCAACCCATGCAGTCTCTTAAAAAAATAACCTTTTAGTTCTTTGGACATGAGTCCACGTCCGCGGTATTCAAAAGCACAAAATTTAAAGACTAGGTGTGTTAGTACTACCTAAAGAGTGTTTATTGTCATTTTCAAAATTACACTCTTCGATCGGCGTACCTACATTAGTTTTGTTTTGTTGTGATTTTTTCTGGGTTCCTTCAAAGCGCTTTGCTTAGGGAGGCAAGTTTTATTGAGCCGGCGGCGCTGCCCTAAAGTCACACTTTACTTATCAACCAAATGTACGTTTTGGGGTGTTAGAAGTGTCGGTGTTCGCTGCGCGGGAGTTTCATAATAACTTTAAAAAATATAGAAAAATCTGTTATAAGCAAAATACATGGTTGCAATACATACTTATAAATAGAATTATTGTTGTTTATTAATTACATATATTATTAAGTCATCGTATGGCTTATAAGCAAAAATAGCCTTTGATAGGACATCGACTCAACTACTTGCGTTTTGCAATTGTACTATCTACCTGAAGTCCAATATTATTAGTGCTATATCTTCCTCACAAACCAAAGGTGACGGATATATAATAATATTGTATTTAGGCAGTACAATAACAAGCAGCAATCAGTCGAGATTCTAATGAGATATAATTATAACGTAAACATTGGCAAAATCGGCTTACAGGTATAGTTAGATACTCATACAATATTCGCTGTTAGACAAGGATTTTTTGTGAAAAGTGGAAATTAAATATTTTCTTGAATAAATAGATAGATATAGTTTACAAAGTATTCAAAACTAAGTACAAAGGGGCCGTCCATTAATCACGTCAGGCTCGAATAGGGGGTGAGGAACACGTATGTCAAAAATTAAGATATTTTCTAGGTACTAAAAATATACGTGATCTGGGGGTCTTAAACGTCACTATGTATCACCAAGGGGGAGGGGGCTTAAAATGTATTGAAAAAACATCACGTGATTAATGGACGACCCAAAACCATTCATTGACGTTTAAAATGATTTGAGAAGTCTATTGTAAGAACTATCTATCTATAATGTTCAGTAAAATATTGATATGACGTATATTATTGACGTCTTTCATTGGTTTTTCTATGGAAAAACGTCTTATCATATAAATCATTCTTTATCATTGGTTCTTCGTTATTAAAGTAGTAATATACAACGAAATAGCGCTATAACATCGATAAGGTGTCGTATCCTATGGCTAGAGTTATAGCTAGTAGAGTTCGGCTGTCGCTTTGCTGGTCTTCTCCGTAGAATTCTGAAGGAGGAATTTGAAAAAAAAATTTTTGGTCTTTAATGGCGGACCATGGCGATAGTTGCTTCATCACCAGACTATTAATGTCCTCACTGCTGGGCCTCAGGCCTTTCCTATGGATGGAATCGAATAAGGAGAATGGGCCATGACCCAAAACGCGGGCCCGGTGTAAGTTGGTGAGTGTTAAAGAAGGCAGATGAAACTGGGACGTAACGTGCCTTCTGAAGCACGGAGAAGCTCGAAATAATAAAATTTGGTCACCCATCCTATGGCTGACCATTGTGAAAAGTGCATAATCTACACTTATACCAAACACGCTAACCACTGCACAAAGTAAATAAATGAAATGTCGCCATATTCTCGATAGGATACATCATCATCGTTAAGATGTATCATATAGCTAGAGAAATAAGCGGTCTACGGCTTAAACGTCTTATTCAATCCCTTTTAATTTCACAGAAAGATATTCACAAACTTCATGCTGCAACTATTTTACGTGTGGTTACGATTGCCATATTAATTTTATTATGTTTGGGGCCGTCCATTAATCACGTGATGTTTTTTTTGGCATTTTTTAACCTCCCCTCCCCCATAGTGATACATGGTGAGGTTTAAGACTACCCCCCCCCCCCTCCCCATATATCACGTGTATTTTTAGTACTTACAATGAATCTTAATTTTCTAATTGTATTATAGACAATTAAAGAGTATAATAATGTCTAGAGGTAGACGTTTGACGAAAAAATAATTTTATTACATTTATTTACGCCACTTTTCGGTTGAGTATCGCGCGTTTGTCGAAAAAATAAATACACGTGATATGTTACTTCACCCCCCCTCCCCCCTTGTGATATTTCGTGACTTTTTTATGGACCCCTCCCCCCCCTTTCGAGCCTCACGTGATTAATGGACAGCCCCTTTCTTGATCATTCAAATCATTATTCGTTTCGGAAGCGATTGCGACTTTCAACGTTACATATTTTCATAAATCGACATCAACGCTTCTATACCATTGAAAGGGATTGTGATAGATAATTAAATTATACAACTGTGCCACTGGTCCAAAATAATACCAACACAATACGTGTAATAGCTATTTATATTTAATATTTTCATTTTATTCATAAAAATACCGTGATATTTATCTCGCTCTTATTTGTGACGTTATTAAAGTAGGAGCTTTCTGACGACATGTTTCAAAAATAAAAAGTTCCATTAATTAAGAAATATAACCACTTAAACAACTAAAGCCGTGGGCTTAAAAGTAATTTCAAGTTTTGGTTTAAATAATGGTGAAGTAAATTCTGTGTTCCGAGTAAACATTGTTTTTTTTTCGAAATTTCACATCAGCTTGTTTTAAAACATAAGTAACTAGTCTTAAGAGATGGGATAATAGTTAAAAAAGAAATGAAAAAAAAAACAGCCAGTGTTCAATACTTATTATTATTACTTTTTCGTGTCTATCAAAATACAAGAAACAAAATATTAATCATCGTCACTGTTGTAATTAATTACAATCGGAACACTTTGAGTCGCAAATAACTTAGTTAGGACCTCATCAGGACGTACGATTTTGGACAAATATCGTCCATATGATAGATAATAAATAATAGCTGCTACATGAGAACAGCATCCCACTGTACGTTCGCCATTGGGGCAATCACAGCAATAACGAAGAATACTATTGTAGTCATTACCTTCGGAAATATAGTGAATGTAAATTCGATAGACTTTTCTATTTATATGTCTTGATTTTACTTCTGCTTTGATGATATTAGGTGCTGATTTCACATATTGTACTGAGAGATTATTTTGATCGTCCATTATTTTTAGTGAAACAACTTAATATTAATATACTATATGACGTCACAACGCCTGTAGCATGTAAATGGATCCAATATTCA